CTTCACAACTGGGAGGAAGGGAGGGAGGGAGGAGGCTGAATCCTCACAGGTATGGGTTGCAGAGAAACACTGCCCCCAAGCCCCTTCTTCACCGGCCCCAGCGCAAGGAAGCTCAGGTGAGCAGCCACACACGAGCCCCAGTCCTTCATTCCCAATAGGCTCAGGCAGCCTCTGAGATGGAGGAAACAAGAGCAAAGGAAGTTTTTGTCGCTGTTCTGCGTTCTCCCCCTTTTTACCTAACTTTCCTCCACGCTGAGCGTTTCCTGGCTCCCCGCTGGGAGACATGGCAGGAATCAATCAGATGTCTGCTTCCATTAAAGAAGTGCCACAGACGTTTTTCTGGAGCCTCTGTTAGAGTGGGTTCTAGGGTTTTGTTTTACTTCTGCAGATGCTTCTCGTAGAAGCACCCCCAGGCCCCCCTTGCTAACAAGACCTTGCCATGTAAACCCACTACAATCACATCAGTGACAGGGTATGCTGGCAGTTCTGGCATTTCCCAGCTCCCCTGCTTAGAAGCTGGAGAAATCACCCAAGATCAATGAATTTTGGGGCAGGTCCTGCACATGTCACTTCTCCAGGCTATGAGTGCAGCAAGAATGAACTCTTGGTGTTGCAGTGAAACTTAGCACTACGACTTCCAGTCTTCGGTCAGAAAATTCATTATGGGAAAAAAAATATAAAAGACAAAACAAAACCCCCAAATGCCCCATCAAGCAAAAAGCTCCAAACTTTTCAGAAAGACCCTGTTGTTGTACTCTGGGTTCAGTTTGTGATTTCCAGGCAAACACTTGCAGCATTTCTTATTTTTGCTTGTAGGGCAGCATTGCTCTTCAATTTTGCCCATCGTTTTGCTCAAAGCCCTGCTTTTTGCCCTGAGGACAGTCCGTGGCCAGGCTGATTTATGAACTCCCAAACACACCTTAAAAAGCTCCGGGGCAGAGAAAGACATCACAGTGTTAAAGTCCAGCCTGTATCATAGTCACACTGTCCTAAGCGAAACAGAGGGGAAAGGGAAAAGCAAAATTAGGGAAGGAGGGGGATGCGCAGAATGAAGTGTTAACATTTTGCATCAAAAAATCCTCGCATCCTTGCCCTGGCATGGTCCTGCATGGAAAAGCAGAGCTTCAAAAAGTCCTAATTTCTCCTGTGTTTGCTTTCCTAGTGCAGGTGGATCAGGCTGTCCCGTGCCTGGTGCACAACAGGGCTCGGGAGCTGCAGGATGCGGGGCTCTGGTACCCCTGGGAAAGGCTCCTCGCTCATTGCCGTGTTCCCGCTGAGCTGGCGGGCGTGAATTGGATTTGTGACGGGGATGTGGTGGTGCTGCTGGCCAAAATCCCAGCACAGCCGCAGCCTTGGAGAGAAGACAGCAGGAGGATGGACGAAGTTTGCCGTCCAGATCTCCTCCATCAGCTGGCCGTGGCACGGGGCAGAGCGGCTGCTGCATGCGCCCGTCCACCCCTCCCCTGCACGATGGCACACGGGGGACAGCAAACAGCACCACGAGCCCCCCCAATCTCCTCCACACCCCAGTCCACCCTTAGGGTTCAAACAACCTCTCTTTCCATTTTGGGGGGGTGCTGGGGGCCTGCTGACAGGTGACCCCGCCATCCTCTGCAGCAGGGAGCTCACAGCCCACAAGCCACCATGGGGACAGAGGCCATCCCAGGCAGATGGGACTTGGGGACATTTGTCCGGCACCTGCTGCAGTTTCTTCACCCCGTTGGCCTCACACTGTCTCTTGGGGGATGTACACAAATGTCACAACAGCCCCCAGTTTTTGGAGCAGGCAAGCGAAGTGGTGGGGAGGGGGAAACTGAGGCACAGGGCTGCTCTGCAGTGCCCTGAGGGCGAGAAGAGTGGCAGCACGGGGGGGAATTATCCGTACCTACATCGGGTCGGCGATGCCAGCAGCACCTTTGACAGACAGAGGGATGTGCCACAGAGCCAAAACCAGGGACAGTACGGGGAGTGGAGGAACGTTTCTGCCCCCCCTCCCCACTAACATCCTCCTGGGAGATCACAGGGAAGGAACCAGCCCCCTTTCTTCAAACCCCCAAGTGTCCCCACCTCACCATGCTCCTTGCCTGCAATGTGAGCAGGGTTTCCAGCAAGATCTGGCCTTGCAGAGCCCCCCCACTGCTCCCCAGCATCACTGCATGCAGGGGGCACATGCCAGTGCATGGGAGCTCCCCCGACTGGTGATGCCAAAACGGCTGGGGGTGATGCAGCTCACCTGGCTCCCAACATGTCTTTAGGGGGGGTCCTGATATCACACCCCCACAGGCACCTCCGAGCCCCCCCAGACCATCACTCTGGGGTCTTGCCACAGCCACACCAGCAGCGTTTGCTGGGAGCAAGCAGAGGATGAGGAGGATGAAGCAGGGCTGGCCCGAGGCAGCTGCGCCGAAATAAAAGGCACGAAAGTCCCTCGCCCAAAACTACAGGAAAATTTAATTACCAAGGACAAAACACCATCTGTTTGTGTGGACTGTGACCTCACGCTGGCCCCTGGCTTTAACAGCTCTTAAATTAGCATGTTTGTTAGGGGGTATTAGCTGTTTGACATCAGGGAAGCTGTTCCCAAGGGGGCGAGGAGGGGGGGACGGGGCGGTCGCGCACCAAAACGTGTGCCTGGGCAGCGTGGCGAGCTCGGAGGCGGTGGGGCAGCAAGGATCAGCCTGGAAATGCACGTCCCCTGGGACCTCAGCTAGCACACGCTGATAGGAAACATCTCCCAGCACTGGTAAGTGCCACTTTGGAAGCGAGGGTCCCTTCTGAGCACAGCCTCGGGTAGAGGTGAAGAGCTTTGGTGATCCCAAAAGCAGCCGCTGCCAGCTGAGCTTGGGCACCAGCCCCTGCTTGGGCGACAGCCTCAGCTCTCAGCCTCTTTCCAGATCCACAGCCAAAAGGGAAAGAGAGAACAAGATGTATGCTCCGAGGAAGATTTTGCAACTGGAAGCCAGCAATTAAATAAATACTCAATACGGGGGAAATTTGGTTAAAATCAAATTTGTTTCCAGCCCTGCAAGGGAGGGAAAATGCAAACACTGGTACCAAGCCCAGGAACAGATTTATTCCCCAAGTGATGCCAAATTGGGCATGTCCTTTATTTCTTCCTCATGGTTTACAAGGTTCAGCATCCATACTACCTTCCTACCTACCAACACAGGCTGCAGCAAGCATGGTCTGCACTCAGCCGGGTTATTTGGGAGAAAGGAGAAAAAACAACCCACAAGGGAGAGGCCCCACTTAGTGAGATCCCAGCAGCTTTTTCCTTCAGCACCTTTTCCTTCAGTTCTGCAAGCTCTGCTCCTCTCTGCCAGCCTTCCTCTCCCACCTCTGTGCCCCCAGAGGGGGTTTGAGGAGCCAATGTTCAGCCACTTCCAGCTTTCCCAAGGAAATCAATCCCTTGGTGAAAAGGGGCCAGTGATCCGCATACGGTGTCTGGAGGCTGACCAAGGGTCTCTCTGAGATGATGCCCCCCAAAACAAGACTTGTACCTATGCCTGCAAGCCCCAAACTCAGCAGCAAAATGTGTCAACCCAGGTCTAAGACCGTGTTAACCATGAGAAAACCAGAGCCACGTTTCTAACAGCACACCGAGCTGCCTGCCCCAAGCACTGTGCAACGCAGAGCTCGAGCTCCGGAGGAGAGCACGTATGGGGAGCATCGGGGAGGAACTGGGAGACCTTGCAAAGAGAGGATGTGCAAGGAGAGCACGTTGCACATCCCCCTGATATGGCACGGAGCCCACAGGACCTCATCCCTCCTAACCGAGAGCTCTTTCAGGAGTCTTCATCCGGGGCCAAGTCCTCTGCATCCATCACAACACAAATGACCGGGGCGCAGCTCTCACCGCCTCTCCCCGGGAGGAAGGAAAAAGGCAAAGCCCCAGCGTGAGGCGGAGGGGACGGGGGCTGATCCAGCCCTCTCCCTGCGGTGACCCCATCCCCTCGGCGGCCCCGCCACCGCATCCGGCCCCGGGGGCCGTCCCCTACCTGCGCCGCACTTCCAGCAGCTTCGTGGCCGGCCAGATGCAGACCATGTGTGCGCTTTATCTCCGGACCCTTCCTGCAGGCTCCAGAGCCTTCCACTGCAAAAAATAAAAATCAAACCCAACCCCACAGCCGAGAGTCCCCGGTGGCCGCCAGCCCCTCTCCAAAACTCTGGCTCGATGCGATCCGCCTGGGTAAGGTTTGTTTTTTAATTAGAAAATATTCATCAGCGTTTAAAAATGAAATAATAATAATAATGAAAAAAAAAAAAAGTGTCAACCAGCTGGGGCTGCAAAAGCCGTGGCGTTTTGGCTCCCGACCGAGCACTTTGATAGAAAGGCTCCTTGGAAAACGCCATAGAAAATATTTAATTTCTCCCAAGGCCTGCATATGGGGCTCATCACTCGCGCATATTACACAGGAATATTCATGTGCGCTGGCCTCCTGTTACAGGATGACGAGGGTTCGCCGGTGCAGCATGCGAGTGGGGCTCCTTCCTTTCCCTTCTCTGTTCTGGAAGAGGAAAGCGCTGTGCTGCACCTTCAGTCCCCAGCCATTCCTCAACGGCAGGAAAAAAGGGAAAGGTGAGCCAGAGGCTGGTCCACTCGCATCCATCAGCCTGCTGTGCTCGCTTCCACTGCCGCAGGGCAATGCCACGGATGGGCAGCAGACAAGGGGAATGCACATTTCTACCCTGGTTTTGCTCCTTTCTCATTGCCATTCCTGTTCCCACCCTACCTGGATGGAGGGGCCCATCAAACCCCAGCTCTTAAGCACACACGTGAAAAGGAGTCATTAAAAAAATACTGAACTTTCCAAACAAAATTTCACAATGAGTACTTTGTTCCCAAATAACACCGTACTCACACATGCACAGACACACTCATTATCATTTTTTTTTGTGTGTTTTTTGCAATCCTTCCCAACCTGAGACAAAGTTTGGTGCCAGGTACTTTCCTAGGCAGGGTCAACTAGATCTCACTAGGAAGACAAATATTACAGGAAGACAACGAAACAAACAGAAACCCTTAAAGCACATCTGGAACATTGCTATTGTTTTGTGGGCTCTGCTACAAGATGGACATTGGTGATTTCTAGCAAAGGGCCATCACGGCAGTCACAAAGCACATGGGGATGAGGAAAGGTTGAGAAACACGGCTTGGCCAGCATGGAGAAGGGATGGATGTGCTGGGACCTAACAGCAGGCTGCCAGTGCTTGTGGGGAGGTAATGGAGATGATGAAGACAGACCCTTCCAGGCTTGCCACAAGGAAGACATTTCCCCATGGGGACAGTCACACACTGCTGTGGGATCTGGAAGAGGTTGTGGGATCTCCAGCCTTGGAGGTTTTCAAGACCTAGACGGGCAAAGCAAACCGGTCTGAAATCGGTATTCACCCTGCCTGCAGCAAGAAGCTGGGCTGGAGACCTCCCAGAGTCACCCCTAGCATGGATGGCTGTAGGAATGCACCATCACCAGGAAAAATTAAACATAAAAAATTCTCCCATGAATTTTGGGAGTGTGACAGCTCGGCTCCATGCTCCTTTCAAACACATGCTTCTGTCCAACAACCCAGTGAGGTTGGTTTGCATAAACCCGACTGGTTCTCTGAACCCCAACTTGGATGGAGACCACAGTGCTGCACCATGGCAGAGCACAGCCCTGACCCCGCAGGGACGGCCGTCTTCCCCACCTCCAAACCTCCTCCTGTGGGGAAAGGCTCTCCTGACACCCGTAAGTGATTAACGAGCGGCCAGGCTCGTCAGCACGCACGCTGCGTGCATGGGTGCTTGCGTGCGTGTGCGCTGCTCAGAGAGACTTGGCAGGGGTGGGGAGGTGGGGGGAAGCGCGCTGACAAGCAGATGATTAATTGAAATGCAAGGGGGAGGAAAAGTAACGTCCGCTGAAACTATCAGCCGGCGCGAGCATGGGAAAGAAATTCGGAGACACCGTCCCCATCCCCTGCTCCGCACGCATCGCGCCTCCCAGCCCGGAGCTGCTCGCCAGTCCCTTCCTGGCTTCTATTTTTGCAGGTGCAATTTCATACTTGAAAATAACCATGCTGCACACGCACGTATATTTCTTCCTCCCCGGCCCCCCGGCTCATTGCATGCGGAAACGGCAGCGATGGGAGAGCGAACCTCCCGGCGCGCGGCGCGCGGCAGCAATTAGCCATCCGAGCGCTCGTTACCCTGCGCCGCTGGGCGCAGGTGCCCACAGCCAGGGCTCTCTGCTCCTCCTGCACCACTCGTGCCTTTCAAGTGGGCACGGGCTCGAAAACACACACGACTTTCCTGCTTTGCACCAAAATAATAGTAATCGTAATAAAAAAGAGGTAAGCGATAAAAAAGGCTGAAAACTCAAGCCTGGCTCAGCTCCGAAACTCTGCTCAGAGTCTGTAAATTATATCCTAAGCAGAGCTGGCGCGACTGCACCATCAGCAAACAGGGAGACTGAGGTGGAAAAGGGGGAGCGAGCTTCTGTTCCTCACCTCGTGCTAGCAGGCTGAGCTTGGGTCACCAAATAAATCGCATTAAGACATGCAAATGGGTGCACACCAGTCCCCAGCATCGCTGATGGGCAAAGCACAGAGGGGAGCCCACCAGGTACTGAAGGCAGGGCATGTCACAGGAGGGGACCCTGAGCTTCAAAGCCCTGGGCTGAAAAGCCTGGGATGTGATCTCGCTAGTGGCCTCTAGATGCAACTGTAGCACAGACAGTAAATCACGGCAGTGGTGCCTTCTGCCAGCAAGCGGGCTCTTTGCTGCTGTGCCAGCTGGGCACTGAGCACGGCTTTATGGAGCAGAGAACACTCCGGGATGCCCCTGGGAAGGAGATCCACGTTGGGATAAGCCAGGACCCAAATTTAGGCTAGCCTGCACTCAGGAAGCTGATCCCCAGTCGAGAAGACCAGTTTGGAGAATTGATCTGAGTGCGTTGTTCTGCATTTTGCTGCGCAGGTAATGACGGGAGCGGTGCGTGATTGCATCGGAGGGCTTCGTGAAACACTTGTACGATTGACATGGTTTAACAGACTGCTGTTTATGAGACAGAGCAGTATTTAAAAGACACATTTCTCTCAGAGCCGCACATAAAATTTGATAGCTAAATAGCTGTAAATGCTACTGAAGGCTGACAACTCGAAGAGGAATAGAGGGTCTGTCATGCGGAGTATCCGCCAATACACCCGGCCCCGCAGAGCCGACGAGACTTCCAGTCTCATAAAACCTTTTTTATATTGGAAGTGAGAATTTGTGCAGCGCATATGAACTCTCTTTTATTGGGCTGGTGTGATGCTGAGAAAATGCAGTTAAAGTTGTACGAGTCCTCCTTGGAGCGCTATTGGGGCGCCTATAAATCAAAAGCTTTATCCCGGAACGTGTTTACTAAATAAACCAGCTTTAACTCAGCTCGTGTGAGCCGGAGGGTGCCATTTGCACCCCGGTGCCCCCAGCTAGCAGCTGCAGCCTGGCTGCCTTCCCTGCGTCTGTCCAGCCCCCAGTGCCTCGGGGCACTCCCCGCAGCATCCCGGGCAGGATGGGCGCAGAAGTGCCCTGGGTACCCGGTGGAAGCGGATTATTTCCCAGCCTCCACAAAGACCTGGCGCTCTCCGGCTGGGGAGGAAGGTTTGGGCCAGCTCCCTTATCCCCCAAAGACTCCTAGATCTCCACTCTACAGCTGCATTAATTATTTCATCTCAGTCTGGCTTCCTCATTAAGCTAACCTAGACGTCCCGCGTCTGAGTGACAGCGAGCTAGTCTGCCAGGACCCAAGCCAGCAGCACTGGAAGCCATAGGTTTGATGTGATTTATGGGGACTAATATTACACATATCTCAAACACGCAAGCTTCAGAGGACCTGAGGCTGCCGAGCAGAGTGGGAGGATGGCAGAAAGCCCACGCAGAGCCGGCAGCGTGGAATCCAGACCAAGCCTGGGTGTCGGCATCTCACCGGTGCTCGTCGGGGAGGGCCGAGCCTCACTGCTGGCCCATTTCCCTGGAAGATGCCCGTGAGCCACACGAAGCCCCAGTGCTGCCCTATTCCACCTCTGGCAGCAGACCGCAGCGTGACAGCAAACATCTGTGTCTGAGCAGGGGCTGGCAGCGCGGCTGAGCCGCTGGACAGCCCCTTCGCCCCTCTCCACCGATGTGGCTGCGAGCTCAGCTAATTTCGGTATCAGGTTCCCCTTGGGATGTCTGGCATCTGTGGGCTATAACAACACTGCTTCGGGGCATTAGGCAGATCCTCTTTTTCCGACACCGCCAAATCCAAGGCTTTTGTGCGAATCCGCTGCATTTTGCCTGCTCTGCAAACAAGTGTGTATAAATGCAAGGCTTCAGCCCCCTGGAAGCCTCCAGGGAAAATTCAAAGCAATGAAGAAATATGAGTTGCTTTTCTATGAACCCATCAAAAAAGGAAAAAAAAACACCCTGAAAAAACCCACATTACTTTTCAGCCCAGTTTTGCCAGCAGTACAGGTCTTTTTCCCACAGTCTAAGGAATCAACACATTTTCAAATCACTCCTGCTTATGGTATTGAATATCAGAACATGATTGCCTTTCATTCAGCAGCTGTTTTGGGACACCGGGGGAAAAGGCAGGCAGTCCAAACTTTGCAAAACACAAGGAAGGGGCTCGATGCATTTAAAAACTAGTTGCAAGAAGTGGAGAGGGAATGGAGAGGTCTGCAAGGGGTGCGTGCGGTGAGGACGGTTTGGGGGTGAGCAGGGTAGAGAGGAGCAGAGTTGGGAGCAAGTCCTGGAGGCGAGGAGCTGGGAAGAAGAGGGCTGCAATGGTAGGGTTGGATGGGAACCTCCCGTGGGTCCTTCATGTGCCTCACACTAAAAAACAACCCAACATGGCCAGCAGCAAGACAGATGAGAAAGGGATGGAGCAGCATAGCTGCTTTCCACAGAAAAATGAGCCTTTCTGGAAAAAAAAACAGCCCGGCACAGATGCCAGTGCCCTGGATGCTCTCCTGGGGCTGAGCAATGATGGGAAGGAAGCTCTCCTGTGTGCCTGCACAGGGCAGATGTTCCTAAATCCCTGCCTTGGTGCTGGCTGATCCCAGAGACTCCCCCTTGGGCATGGGACATCCCAGTGGCACCCCGACCTGTGTCATGGTCCCACAGGGTTACCCGAGAGGTGCACACCGGATGAAGCAGTGCTGCCTCCAATCTCTCTCTCACCCAGCTGGTCCAACCCCCCCAAAATACAGCGGGTGCCAGCATCCTTCCACAGCCCCACCTTCCTATCACAGCACTGCTAAACTCCTTCAGCTCAGGCTCCTTAGAAGAATGCAGGGGTGCAGGCTCATTTTCCCATGAGAAACAGCATTATTGCCTGATTCACCCACCTCCAGCCTAACGTGTGGATGCCCAGCATCTCTGTGCTGCTGCTGGGGAGTGGGCAGCTCTGAAAATAAAACCAGCAGCTCTCTCCCCTTCCTCTCTGCCCAGCTGTGCCCTGGGGATAATTACACCACAGCAGTGCCAATGAGCAGGGCACTCGCTGCTCTCTCTTCCCACTCTTCGAGGCAGTTATTTAACCTCGCTGAAGCAATGCTGTTATCCCATTTCACAGACGGGGAGCTGCAGAGCAGAAATGCAACCCAGGCTCAAGGTGAAGGAGGGAACCTGCAGGGGAGGAAGGCACCGAACCCTCCCTTGGCTGGCAGCATCCTCTGTGTCTTCTGCACATCCCCATACCCTCTGCACATCCTCTACCCATCCTGGTACAGTCCCATCAGAGGTGAGGATTTGGCGCATTAAAAGGACACCAAATGGAGGGAACAGCAACAGGCTATGGAGGATTAGCTAAAATAAGTTTATTCTAAAGCACTGGAAGGAGAAAAGCTCTATTTTCCTACAGGCTTGTGCCATGTTATCCCTCCATGTTGTCAGCAATAGCTCTGACCTCCTGCTCGTGCCACCTGGAGGTGAGGCAACCCAAATCCCAGGGCTTGCCAAAACGGGGGCACTAACTGGGGTCTGCCTGGTGCCCTTCTCTTGGAGATGCCTCCCTGGCTGTCAAACCTGGCTGTGTTCAGCTGCCAGGATCGTGAGTCTTTGTGGGGAAGGCTGACAGCCCAGCAGACCATAGGAAGGGTACAAAAAAGGGAGGGGAGAGCCAAGCCCAGCAGGTATCAGCACCCCATGGGGATTTGCAGCCATCAGCCTTGGCTGAATGTCCCCAGTGATGTCCCTGGGAGAGCCCTGCAGCCACCTGGGGAGAGGAACCAGAGCAGGGCACCTCGTCCCTATCCCAGCCAAGCTCTGATCTCCACCTGTCCCTGCAGAGTGGCAACAGAGCTGCAGTGCCACCAGGTAAGCAAAGAGGCAGGACGGCTGGGCTGCTCGCAGAGACAAAGTGCCTCTCTCCTTCCTCCCAGATTGCAAGCAGATGTGTGCTTAAATTACCTGCTGCTGACTGCGACGCTTAGCAAAGAGCCATGGTCTAGGAGCAGAGCGAGGAAAAATGTGTGAAACGAATGAGGGGAGGATTAGCAGGAATTCAGGCGGCTCTGGAAGGGCAAAGTGTCGCTGTTGCAGAAAAATGTCACTTCCTTTGCAAAACCTGGCTGCCCTCGGAGGGAATAAACCTCAAGCCAAGCCTGTTGGACCCAGGGGGAAGCAGATCCCCTTTGGGAGATGAAATCCTGCCCCTGGTGAGGGTGGAGAGGTTGGGAAGAGCACAATGCCACGGAGCACTGCAGGAGCAGCCCTGGTTGCATTGCACAGGGTTTTCTTCCTATTCCAAAGAAACCCTCCAAGCCTCAGCACCCATCTGCATGCATGGCTGTGCACCCCAGCCCCAGGAGGCTTTGAACAGCCCCCAGAATGTGCTCCTGCAAGCATTCACCCATCCTCACACACCTTCTCCAACACCTCCTGGGCAGCTGCACGCTTGCCCCATGCCTGGAAGAGCAGCCAAGCGGGGTGGGGGGGGTGTCTTCCACCTCCCTGCAGCATCCCATGCAGCAAAGCAACATTTTGCAGGCTGAGCCAAGCGAATCTTGCTCTCGGCAAGACCTTGGGGGTCCCACGTGGCGTCCCGCTTCCCGGCACAGCTCGGCGGCTGGAGCAAAGAGCGGAGTCAGAGCCCGGCCTGCAGAGCACTGCGCCGGGTTCACGCACGGGAAACAGAGGATCGGAAATCTCCGAAGCGCACAGCTGGAATCCACACCCCTGACCGTGTTTTTGTGAGATATCACGTACATTTTTTTAGAGCTATCTGGAGAGGGATCTGCTTTAGAGCTGCCTGGTCATGCTGACCGGGACCTTCAAGTGTTCCCTGTCCCCCCAACCCATGCTCATCTGTTGCCTTTGCCCTTAGACCATGAAATTATTTAAGGACAGGATCACGCGTCCTGCCCCACGTCCGTTCAGCATCAGGGACACAGGGAGGGGGATAGAAAAGGACGTGCCACCCAGAAAATTCCCTGTGGGATACCGTGCACCGACGCCCTGACATGGTGGTCCCCAGAAACCCTGGGGTTTCTCTCCCCATCCTATTTACAGCCTCAGAAGATCACCACAAGGGGAAAGCCCGTGAGCAGCCGTAAGATGCTGATGTGGTACCAAGAAGAATGGGAACCCCGGCAGTGCTCAGCTCCCTCTGGTATCACAAATCTGTTGTCTTCTCCTTTCAGAGCTCCTGCAACAGCAACTATACATTTGTCAGCTGCTTCACTACGGGGTCTTTCTTTGCCCCGTTCCACACACTAGGCTCCTGAGCTAAAAACCTACCTTAAAGCCCAATTTGAAATTAAAGACCCAGCCTGTCATAGCATTATGTGTTGGCCAATGTTTTGCAGGCAGACCTTCCCCTTCTCTTTGCGTTTCACAGATATTTGCAAGAGGGGTTTGGCCGCATCCATACCCACAGAACAGATGTTTTGGGAGCATCCCTGGTAAAAACTGGTGCCAAAACCTAGCAGATCCCTCGCCCAAAAACACACACATCAGTGACCACCCCCCCCTTTCAGCTGCACTGGGGGGTGGTCGCTGATCTCAGTTCCCCCCCTTCACACCCCCTGGCCCTGCTCTGCCAGGCTCTGCGAGTATTTTGGGGAGAGCCCAGGAGCCCTCGCTGCCCAGCCTCCCTCCCACAACGAGATGGGAAACCCATTAAACGCTGCAAGCAACGAAGCCTCCGCTGCTGCTCCCCGGGGGCGCTTTCACAGTCAACTTGAGGAAATTGTTCCTGATATCCAGCCTAAATTTCCCTTTGTTGATTTTCAGTTCAGCAGCGGAAAGGTGGGAGCTTTAATGAGACAAGCGGGGCCGCTGCAGGGGAAGGAGCCGTCAGTTTGAGCGAGGCAATGCACAGAGCTGTGGTTTAAGTGGAGCAGCTATTGCGAAAATCCCAGAATCCTGCAAACTTGGGATGGAAAAGGTCTATTAGCTTTCCCAATGGACTAACGCGAGATTGTTCCCCCATTTTCTAATGCCTCTCCCAGTCCAGCTATTTGATTGGGACCAGAGCTCTGCAAAAATGTGACGGGCTGGCTCTTTTTAAAAAATAAAAAAATAAAAAAAAAAAATGAATTGCTGCATGTGGAATAAAATTCTGGGCTTTATGGACAGATTTTGCAGCTTCATCCAAGGGCAAATTTTTTTGCTGGTTGTGAAGCCAATAACAGCCTTCACTCTTTTTTCCCCTTTACCTGGGGAAAAGGCTTTTCATCAGTGGTGTGCCTGGAGTAATGAAGCTGGCAGGCTGTGCCACACCAATGCAACCGGACTTCTTTGCCCAGCACAGAAACTGGGCTCCCTGCAGAAGAGCTCGACCGCGCGGAGCAAACCTACCACCGGCAGATGTTTGCCTTAATGGCATGCAGTTTTCTTAAATGTCAGGTGCCTGCATGGCAGCAGAAGGGCACTTTTTCCACTCTTGCTTTTACAGCTTGTAAAGGCAAAACGGCCGCACGCTCCCTGGAAATGTCAGCTCCGTTTTCCCGAGGACCTGCCATCTGTCGGCACGCTGCCTGCACCCGGAGAGGAGAGAAGAGACGAGGAGAGGAGAAGAGAGGACAGAACAGGACAGGACAGGGCAGGAGGAGGATGCACTTGGATGCTGAGGGTTTCGCTTCTGTGTCCCCAGCAATACACTTGAGGGATAAAACCTCAGCACAGCCCCAAGAACAAAATGCAGGCGGTGGCATGCAACAGTTTTGCCCCTGCCTTTCATTTCCTGACACTGGAGCACTGATCTGAGGCAGGACCGGGCTTTTCACCCAAAGACGCACAGGAACTTTAAGACCACGTCTGTGCCGGGGTTTGTACAGCAGAAATAGCAGGGAAGGGGCCAGGGCAGAGGTGCAGCACCGCTCCCTGCCCTGCCTCTCTGCAGCTCCCCAGGTCTCTGCTGACCTTGAGGGAAAAGCTCGCTGCGGCTCCAATAACGACAGGCTGCAAAAGCTTAAATAAGAGCGAGCCGTACCACAGCATAAAACCCCCAAACCCTAACCCCCCTGACGTTGGTGCAGCAGGAAAAGAGCAGAGCAGAGGGGAATGAAATAGAGACTTTCTCCATCTCCTTCCTAAACGCCCTGCGTTGCACGGTACATTGCAACTTTGGGATGTGGCAGGATACCAGCGGCAGTTTATGCGTTGCAAAATCACCTCCTCCGTGGCAGCTGAGATTTCAAGCGTAAGCTCCAACCTTGGTAATATTTTTTACATATTGAGTCACCACCAGCCCTGAAAATAACAGGGGAAAAGGGCTGGGATTTCAAAGACTTTAATGCCTGGCTGGATCCGCTGGGAGCCGGGACAGCCCAGCTGCCAGCCCGCTGCCACTCTTCCTCGCAGAGAGTTTGAAAGGATGCGAGGCGATGTGAAGCTCTGGCGTGGCAGCCCAAGAAAAAGAAGGATGAAGCTTTAAAAACCTGCCCTGCTTTCCTCTCAGTGCTGGAGTGCCCAGGGCACAGTGGATGCAGCCCTCCTTTGGTAGGTTTTACTGTGCAGCCCCGAGGCAAGAGGACTTTTAACAATCCAGCCTTTTTTTTTCCCCCTTATGGAAAAAAAAAAAAAATCAGGTCAGGTTTTTGCCTGCAAACACCAACATCCCCAAAACTGCTGAGGGAAGAGGGGACCCAGCAGAGCCTTTTCCACTGGTGAGAGCAAAGAAGGGAGGACAGGTGGACAGGGAAGAGAAGAATTGCTCCTCACACACAACCCTGCTCCCTTCAGATCGCCATTCAGCCTGAAGGTCTACCTCCCCAAGATGCATTCCCAGATAAATTATTCAATTCCCTGCTCTTCCCCTTCTTCCATCAAGGGAGTAACTGTCTCTGATAGCCCTGATTCGCTAAATAAAACACTCCTTTGAAGGCTCCCTGCAATAACATTTGCACAGAAAATTGACATTCTTCCTCCTTCCTCTCAGCCCGCCGCTGTTTGTTTGTGAGTTAATAACTTCGACGCTCGGCTGAGCTATTGATCCCTCCTCAGCACAATCGTTCTTTTGGGTGCGAAATACACAAAAATAAAATAATGAGCTGGCAACAGCAAAATGAACTCGGCACTTCCGCAGGGCCCCGGGGCGCTGGCCTTGCAGGGGACGTGGCTCTTCCCAGCCCCAGCTGGACCAGGTTGGATTTACTTCTCCATCCCTCTCCTGCCCTCCTCATCCTCAGGAAAGCCACTTTTTCGCTTGCAGGTGGAAAGCTAGCTTTTATAACCCCAAATCAGTATTTAGCATTAAGTATTTGCCACCCAGCCAGGGCTTTGTGGCACGATGATGCTCTTTCCCCTGTCCCCCAGTAAAGCCCAGTGACATTTCTGATTTGACAGCTTTCTGCCGCAAAGTGTCACTTTGAACAAAATCAAACTGCTCTGCAGGACAGAGGTGATCCGGAGGAAATCCCAGAGGAAGCTATCCGAGCAGTTTGCTCCCACTTTGCTCTTTAGAGCTGTGTGATATCGTCCTGGAACAAAGCCCCCAGGCTTCACCCGAGCCATCTCGATAGCGGTCGGTGGGGAGCAGCTCCCCCTGCGATACCCACCGTAATGAAAGCTGATGAAAGGAAACGTTTAACAGCCCTGCACTGCCCTCCTCGTCCTCCTAAACGGCTCCCTGGCTGCCAGGGCATCGCACCACCTCTCCCCGGGGATCCTCGCCCATGCACCGACTTTGTGTTTTCGCTTTGCAATCTGCTCACATGCCTTCAGCTAATTGTTCTTCAGACTGCTCTTTTCAGGGGAGATTTTCATGGCAAACAATCAATTTTCCCAAGTTGCATTTTCCTTCAAATCCTTTGATGTCTGGGAAAATAACAGGCAACCTCAACACACGGCTGAGTATCAGGCGAGGGCTGGGAAGCACTAAGCGGAAATGCATTTAGTTGTCTGGGTCAAAAACCATTTCCTTTGTTAAATGATTATTATTGTTCCAAGAGGATTTCAGTGGGAATTGAGGGTGCTTAGATAGATGGATTCACAGGTTTGCTGAGCTTCTATAAGGGTCTCTATATCCTCCACCATAATTCTACATCATAACTTCCAACACCAATAACTCTTCTATGACTCCCAACAGATATTCCTGTGCCTTCCAAAGCAATAACTTCTCAATGAACTCCAGACCTGCCAAATCGACTGTTTTTCCCCCGCGGACGCCTGCTTTTTGGCCCTTCTCACAGCCCCCCTGGGAATCCTGACCCATTTACCTCTCCTTCTGGTTCCAAGCTGAGCGCAGGGGGAGATGAGATCAGAAAGCGATCTGCATCGTATGTCAAGAAATAGCTCTGGCACTAAAAGGTTGCAGTCAGCTCCCATTTTCCTGACTGCTCTCAGCAGCCCGGGATGCAGCCCGCGCTCCCGACCTGCTCGCACAGGCGGCTCCCCCAGAACCCTTCCATCCCCGAAGCTCCTCGGGTCGCTCCTTTCTTCCCAGCCCTACCTGAACACGGGTCCGAGCCCTTCTCAGGCCTCCCCTGGAGAAATTACTTGGGTTACTCGCTGGGGCTAGAGAACAAACACTTAAATAAGAAATAAATTGCAATGCGTTTCTCGGGTCGCCAAGCCTCCAGGTTCAGCGTAAGAGCACAGAGCCGCTACCTTTCTGGGCACTTGATCTTAACGATGTGTTAATTAAGCTAAGGTTAGAATCACTCGTTACCTTATTATTTTTGTTTCTATCACAGTAATGCTCAGAGGCCTCAATCAGGAACAGCTTTTTTTTTTTTTTTTTTCCCTTTTTTTTTTCCTCTCCTTTAAAGTCACAAATTATTTCAAGATCTGGTAAAAATACATGCACAAAAGCAGGCTCTGCTCTTTTCCAGGGGATTTTGCTCTGCGAGGGAAGAAAGGTCTCTACAGTGCATTTGAATCAAAAATGAACATATGCAAGAGGGGAAGAATGATACGCTTCAGAAGTTCCCCTTTTTTTGTTGAAAGGATTTCTCTTAAACAAAGAAAAACCCCACAAGCCTAATCGCATTGCACTAGGTGCTGCACAGAGCCCGTTCGTGCTGCAGAGTGAATATTGAGCAAGCTCCAAAGCTGCCCAAAGGAGGACAGAGGAAGGATAAGCGATTTGGCTCCGGTTTCGGGCTCTCCGGTTGCTATCCCACTTGTCGACCTACAAAACTCCTCCAAAAGCTGGGGACGAGCGCTGCCGGCCACTTTTGGGTCATCCCCATCCCCTGTGCCCTCTCCAGCCTGGGTGGGTGCAGAGCAGGGTCCCATCCTTGGGGGATGCTGCTGCCCTCCGGGGAGTATCATTCCCACCTCTCTTCCTTTCCAGCCGGGGGAAAAACAACCCATAAAACCCCCTCAGCATTTCTGCAGGAGGGTGAAACCCTTCTAGCAGGGCGGACACCTCCGAGCATCGTGTCCAGACACGCATCTTGAGATGCTGAGGCCAAGGCAAGGAGCCCCGCTGGGAGCACAGGGCTTGCATTGCACCTCCCAGCTGCACCCTGGTGCCCCGCCAATGACCTGGGTTTTTAAAGATGCCATCACGCCCACGCTATCCAATTACTAGGAAACAATTAAGCTGACGGTGGACCTCACGATCACCATGGAAAAAGGGGAAAGGGAACCACCTGCTCAGCGCAGAGCCCGATTTCTGGGGATGATTTGTAGCCAAAAGGCGCAGTTTTTGTCAAACAGGAGCCACGATTTGTTTTTCCTGTTTTTTTTTTTTTTCAACTAAAATCATCCTGTGCACTTTCTGGCTCCCTTCTAAAACTGTTTTAAAATTTCATAATGAAACAAAAGTTCTAGAAAGCACTAACATTTCCCTGCCCTGCGCTGAAACTGTCAGTTCCCTTCACCTCCAGTGCTGCTATCCTCATTGGAAAAAGTCGGTTCTTTCCCAAAACTTAACCCTTAATTTTGGAAAACCTCTAGGAAAAAAAAAAAAATAAAATAAAATAAATAAGCCATTTGTGGGAGATAACCCACAGGAAAAAAGCTTCAGAAAGACTCAGCAGTGGTTAAATGCCTATTGCTGCTGTACCGAGGGCAGAAAGGGCTCAGAAAAATGGGGTGAAAGGGGACTTTTCTGCAGAGCACGGTGTCCCCCATCTGAGCCTGTCCCACCTGCGCTCATTTTGCAGAGGTCTGGCGGCACGAGGCGACGCAGGCACACACGCAGTGATTTATTCGGGGGCTCTGGCGTGGAGGCTTTGAGCAGGAAAGCACTGCACAACTGCACTAATTGTCTGCTGAACATCTGTCTCTCCCCTACTACCGCGGGGCCGGATGAGTCCTCCTGCATAGCCGAGGATTAGCACGGGAAAAAGATTTTGTCGACTGCGTGATTTTGGATGGGAGGAGGGAGAAAAAAAAAAATCCTGCAGATTCCCCTGGAGTGAAGAGTTTTAGGGGAAACCACTCAGGGGCAGGAGGGGAATTTGCAGTTGAAGCCAGGGAACTTGTTGGAACCAGCAGCGGGCACTTACCATGGACTGCAGGCACAGGCAGATTGAGCACCTTGCTCCAAACCACAGGGAGCAGCAGCAGCAGTCCCCCGCTCCTCAAGTGACACAAGGGCATCTATTACCACCCGCAGGGTCCTGTCCTTCTCCCACCCAAGCCCCTCTCTCATTTCACCACAGCCATAAATGAAACTTGGGAAGATTAACAGAGCAAAACTGCGGGGAGGAGAGGGGCGCAGCTGTGCTCCCCCCGACCTCTCATCCACGTTTGGTGACAGGCACTGGGACTTGGAGCAGTGTCAGCAGGCACAGAGCTTGTGCAGGGCTCCCTGCCTCTGGACTGCAGGTTTAAGGAGAGCTGAAGTGGCAAAGCCAACTCCATCAGTGGTTTTCCAGCGACTCCATTTACTCAGAAGGAAGGATATTCCCTGATGGCACCAGAATTTACAGAGCTTTTATGGTTAAACTACTCAAAATAAACTTCAAGGAGGAGGAAAACAAGATGGAGCTTTACACTGACAACCCGCACAGGTGGCAAGGGCAAATGATCTAACACCAACCACACTGTGGGCATGTAAGAAAGAAGAAAGAAAGTTCAGCCTCACCTGGTCTGCTTCTCCTTGCCCAAAAGGCTAGGAAAGGCCAAAAAATCATAGGGCTACCAAATGCAGAGTGGTCCCTAGGGGAGGGTCTGTAGCCTCTTGGAGGACACTGGCATCTCCCAAAGCTCCCTCCATTGCCAGGGACGGATGCAGCAAGGGAAGGGACCAGGACGGACTCCTGAAATACTTCACCCCCAAATAAACTGGAGAGCCTTCTTTTAGGACAGCCCATAGAGGGAACCTTGAACTTGAGGCAAATGAGCTGGGTGGTGGGGATGTGTCCCTCGTCTTCGCTCTGCATCCCACCAACCTCATCTCATGGGCGAGAGGAAGAGTCCGTCCATCGTTGCGTGACAGCTGCCAACTGGTGCTAACAAGGCTCGTGGAAACCCGAGTGCAAAAAAAGCCTGACAGAAGCCGAAAAAACAAACCAGCAACGAGCAACAAATTCCCTGCTGTTTAATTAGTGCAAATGTCTTGTGAGCTGGGAATCTTTTTTTTTTTTTTTTTCTTTTTCCCCCTCCAAGAACATCAGGGGCCAGAAACTCACACTGTAACGCAAACAAAACGTCCCTTAAAATCAACTGGTGCTTTTGGCCAAGAGAAAACTGTTGGGATTTCCAAATATGGCCCCTGGGAACATCAGCCCAAGCATTCTTGGGAAGCATCTCGGAGCCTGAACTGTCTCCCAAGAATAAAAACGTTCAGTCCAGCACGACAAAAGAGCCATCACATGACAATAACTATCACACAGGCGCACAAATTAAGCAATCAATCAAAAGTGCAATACCCCAGAAAACAATAGCGAGCGGTGCACATCATACCGGCGACGGGTGAGCAGACCTGACCCGCGATTGCCTCCCTTCACGCATGGGCTATTGTGTTCCCTTCTCCACAGACATCACAGCAAGCGGGGGTTTCTTTAGTTTTGGCCTTTTTATCAAAGCGTGGGGAGCAGGAACCTTTCTTGGAGAGAATACAGGTATCCGTACTCCAGTGAGAAAGCATTTGGTCTGGGCTCGGCCATCATATAAATCAATGGTTATTCCGCGGGGATGTGACAGAGCAAAAATTAGACGTAAAATTTGCCAGACGGCGAGAAACGAACTCAAAATCATTGCCGTCTACTCTCAAGTCGGGGAAGGAATTCCTGCCTTAAAGGTTCAGGATCGCGTGCGTGTGCGTAGCTTAGCATAATGATGTCCCCTGGGCAAAAGGAGAAAGAAGGATATTTAAAGCCTCCCGCCACTTCTCCTCTTCCATCCATCTAATTGCACCCTGCTGCAAACAGACACCACCTCTGCCCCTCTGCACACTGAATTAGGGGCTTTGGGGACCGGCCACGGTGCCCCGATGGCACTGCCACCCCCACCCTGCAGCACCCGGGGGCCCCGATGCGTTCACGAGCAGCTCGGGCGTACGGCTGCGTGCTTGCAAGTGTATTTTAAAAATCAGACCCTGCTGGCAGGCAGCTCGCAGACAGCGAGCGGGGCCAAATCCCATGAATAAATTGCTTGGAGCGAGTGGTTTGACGCGCCATTATTCATAACTAATGCAGTCCTAGTAAACAGAAAATGGAGGCCAAATCTGCCTGTATAGACGCCACTGACCTCATCTGTTTTCATCCTATTTGGTGAGTAAAATCAGAGCAGAGGAGAGCTACCGCCATCCTCTAAAAGGGGAAATGGATGAAAAGCACCTCCTGCTTTCCCTACAGCTAGGGGACGAGGTGGGAGTCTGGGCAGCGAGGATGTGAGCCAAACTCATGGTTAGAGCAGAAACTTGGTCACGCCACTGCATGGACAACCAAAACCAAACCACCACCTCTCCAACCTCTTTCCCAGCATTACAAAAATCACTGCTTGCATGACCCACAGATAAAACAGAACCGGTGGAGGAGATGTGACATCTACACCCTCCAAAGGAGGATGCTCTCCTCCCTTTTCCCAGGAAGCACCTCCAAGCCATCACAGCGGTCAGGGTGCTGAGCTCCCACCCAGCCAAATGCCCGTGTCCCCCCGTTCTCCTCAGCTCTGTGGAGGTGTTTCCCCTAGCTGTGCACACCAGGCAGCCAGAAGGAGTCAGGACATCAGAAGATGAGGCATGGGCAGTGGCAGGGGAAGTCCTCATGGGCAAGCACAGACCCACCAGCCACAACAACTATGAGACACCTGCAGCAGCTCAAGCAGAATGAGATCAAGCTGATAAAGCACATGCTTTGGACACCTAATAGGGTCCCGAAAGGTTGCTCACTTTTTGGAAAGCAGGCAAGCTGCAGTGCACTTCACTGCCTCTCCACAGCCCAGCTTGAGATAGCCAGTGGAGTTAAAAACAAAACAGAAAAATAAAATAAATAAATAACAACAAGGAAGGGAAGAGGGAGCAACCAGCCACTCTTCCACCAGCACAGCGATTGTGGGCTGCCCGGTACAAACATCAGCCAGCTGGTTAAAGCAAACACAACTCGTGGTTTCACACAGCAATGACCAGCAGAGTCACTGCCAGGGCATATTCATGAGCAGAAAACCCAAGTGCAGAAGGGAAGAGAGAGCTCCAAGAAGCACGGCTTTGCTGATGCTGATGCAGCCTCCAGAGCAGAAACTGCTTGCAAGAAGCTGAAGGCTACAAACTAGGACATGGTTGTGCTGTTTCTGCTGTTTCTTCTGCTCTTTAAAATTATATTTATTTCAATTTGGGCAATACATAGTAAAATGGTGAACTTGGTTGTGATCACTCTTCCTTTGCTTCCTTTCCCAAATAACACAAATTTTAAAGACGTTTCAGCTGCCAGCTGTTTCCACTGTGAAGATCCCAGCTCAGCTCCTCCAGAATTCACCTTCGGGGAGAACTGAGCCATTGACCTGCAGGCTGCAACATTCATCTTCAGTGCAAAGGGAAATACTTCTGTAAATGACAATAAAAATTTATTGCTCTGTTTAGAAGTTACAGCCCATTAAAAAATTGCCCTGATCTGAATCATTGACTTCTCAAAATAAATACTATTCTTTCATCAATAAGCTCAAAAAATAAGCTAACCACAAAACCCTTTGGAAAAAAAGAAACATAAAAATGATATCTTTACACATTAATAACATCTATTGATCTAACTGTAAGCATATGTCCACATACATAATTTCACCATATCGCTCATCAATAATACTCTACACTTTTCGTATTAAACTCTGCTATTCCCATGAAACCAAAATCCTAAGTATTTTACTAAAAAGTCCCTTGCCATTTAAATGCACAATAGCTGCATTTGAAAGTATTAGCACTAGAACCATATTTAGTCACGCAGACCAGTATTAATCATTCATAATGTGAACGGGGCAGAGTTGTAGGAATGTCAGAAAATAAAAGTGTTTGTATCTGTATTAAAAGCAACAGCATTTTCTCTACTGCCTTTCACTGCGCTCTTAATTATGTCTGAGAACCTGAACTTCATAGATGGCCAAAATGACACTTCTGAAGAAAAGGTATTTCGCTCTGGAGCAGCAGATGGGATTATAAAATGCTGGCATGGGCCAGTTTCTTGCAGAGTGACCCAATATCGCCTCTGCAAAGAAGCGGCGTGCGTCCCCAGCCTGTTGGAAAGGTCTGAATGCTTTCTGCACGGAGGCAGCCTGCTGGAGAAGCACCTCGGTGTTTTGGATGAGGATTAACGTACTCTAATCTGTTTATTAATGCTTTGAAGAGGGCTGAGCAATGAGGAGGAAAAACTGGCAGATGACAATATTATTTAGGCTAATCAAGAACATGATGGATGGCAGAGACCTTCAAAGCCAGCAGCAGCACGAGGCAGCGAGGAAGCCCGGCGTGTTGATAAATGCACGGCACCGCTCGCTGCAAGGAGTGTTTTGAACTAATCACACACATTGCTGCAGTCTAAATTAGCTGAAACCGGCCAGCAAAGTGATGTCAGCCTTCGCTCTGCAGCCACTGCTCAAACAGCAAACAAAATGTTAGGTTATATATGAAGGCAGAGGATTATAAAATACGTGATGGTGTAAATCAGCGGCGTGGCCTGACCTGGAACGCTCCAATCAATTCTGGATATCCTGCATAAAAAAGACAGAGGAAAAGGGTTTCTGCTCAGAGACAGGCAATAAAAGCAATGAGATGTAGAGAAAGAGCAGAGTGCGAGACGGAGAAGTCGGAGACTGTAATGAAAAGGAGGCGGGTAAACAGGAAGAGGAAGGAGGGGTAGGGAGCAATGAGAGACGGCCGGTGAACGTTTCTCCTTACCCTCAAATATCAGGAGGGTAGGAGAGTCCACAGAACTGAAAAGGGAAGGCACTTGGGGCGGATTTATTTACACACGTGGGCTGTGCTGCCTCGAGCATCGTGCAGACCCAAGGCAAGAGCACGACCAAAACGCTCTGAAGGTATCTCAGGTGACCTGATGGCGCACAGTGGTACCAACACCTCCTGGGGAACAGAGCAGGAAAAGCAAGGGAAATGTCACCACCGTGGCCAGCACGAGGTCCTGCAGACTAAAGCCACATCCAGCCAGGAGAAAACAACCCGCTCCCACAGGAGACTGCTCCCAGCTGGGCACAGCCAAGGGTCAACCCATGCCCTGCAGCAGGCAGGCTCCTGCTACACCTCCGAGCTGTGTCTAGGTGGTTATTGACTTGGATTCTCCCTCTTCCCATGCCTTCCTCAGCCCTGGGTGGGGAGCGTGGCTTCCAGTGCATTTTTAAGGGCAGCCACAGCTTGGGGTGGGGAAACTGAGGCAGGACACCCTGCCGAGTGCAGGGCCATCGGGATGCTCCTCCACACCATGCTCCCCACATCCTCCCTCTGCAGCCGAAAGCCCTTGCACGTCTCTCCATCTCTCCCCTTCCCGTTTTTCCGAGGCCCGGTGATTTCCCAGCTGATGAACACATTACCACCTCATTCGGCAACGCCTTGGAGGCGCTCACGTTTCAGGCCCCGGCGAGAAAAAGATGAAGTATGAAAATCCCTTTCCTTTCCAATCCAGTCCTCCCCAGCACTGGCCAAGGAGCTGATGCAAAGCGCCTCGGAAAACACACAGAAAACACCGGATGCGAGAGGCCGTGCCGAAGTCGCACCATATGCAGGTGTCAGGGAAAAAGGTCTCCTGTCTCCCACGCCAGGCTGCTATCTCCATCCCACAAAGCCTGCCTGACGGGGGACAGGACCAGGCAGGGAAGCAGTGCAGGATGCGACCTGGCCCCCAGCCTTGCCTGTTTTAAACCAAAAGTCACTTTTATCCCAGGCACGACTGGGGAAAGCGTGGTCCCCTCTGCCTGCCCTTGGAGATACAGGCACGGGGACAAGGCGTGGGTCAGGACAAAGCTAACCAACAGCCCGAAGCATCTCCTGGTGGCGTGTCTGTCTGCAAAGACCTGTGTTTTTATCAGAAATGCTGCAGTTAAAACTCATGATGCACCAAGAGCTTTCCCTGCTTCCACAGCCAGTGGCTCTGGATGCCCCATTTGGGGCATTATTTAGGAAAGCACGAGACGAGCACCCACAGCCATTGGAGAGGACCAATGCTCCTTAGGAAGGGTCGCTCACTCCTTCCCCATTTCTCTGGTCCAGGATGAGCAGGCTCTGCCTTGCCCACAGCTGACCAGATCTTCCAAAGACACTTGGTCAACCCAGTCTCACAGACACACAACACTGGAATATCACCATGCAAGCACAGCTGGCACAAAAGAAAACAGGACAGAGGTTTGTTTAGCAGCGGTGGCCCAGTCCCTGCCCATTTGACATTTGCTCCAAACCAGTGAACTGCACGGCGTTTGAACTTTTGTTTAGACAGATAAGCCTGTGTATTTAGAAATCCTTGAAACTCATCCATCTGCAAAGACAGCAACTCCCGATAATGCAAAAGCTCCAGCCGGGATGCTGAGCTCAGCAGATCTCTCTACAAATGATTCCTATTAAAGTAAAAAATTACAATGCAAGCGTCTATTAGACAATCCAAGTCTGACATAAAAAAGGAATTAAAAAAACATAATATATTCATGACAGCCATCTTTATAGACCACTGAGGAGCCCAGACAAGGCAACAGGACGCGCATTTTTCATCGCCTGCCTGGTTCCCCAACCCACCCAGAGCAATGCACTCTGCGTCCTGCCTGGCACAGCCATCCTGGCGGGGTCTGCCCTGCTCCTCACCACCTCTGGTGATGAGACCCCCACCTCCTCACCCAGCATCACCCCTCCTATGAGGAACGGTGCTCCCGGAGTGCAGCTTGAACCTTCTTCACAGTGTTACACCTGGGGTTCATTGCCCCAGGGACACGAGGGAGGATTTTTCAGGGAGTCCTTTGCATCTCTGAAAGCTTATGGCACCTTTTTATTTGTTTCCGTTCCAGTCTCAATGCTCCTAAACCACTGCCTTAGGGATGTGGGATGTGCACAGGTCCTGAGCTGACCGGTCCAGCATTATCAGAGCACCAATAAATTCATCCTGAGCAATGGGTTTAACTACTGGTCCTGGTCCCACCAGCATGAGCAATGAGATACGGCTATCGGGGCCAAAGGAAAAGCCAGACTATCCCAACCAGGAGCCTGAAGACGGGCAGAGGGGAGAAAGCTGAAGGAGAGCCCTCCCTGAGATTTCTCCGGAGGGTGGGAATGCCAGGGGGAGCCTGTCATCATCGTGTCCTCCTCCCTCCTGGCACCTGGGCAGCAGAAACACGCTCAGCTCCCAGCCCCCAAAAGCCTAAACCAGCAGATTATCACGTTAACGCTTCAAATGTTTAATTTCCTGCTACGATTACATCGGGTTTACAGCAGGAGAGGCGGGAGGGGGAACAATCTAAACCCCGGGCAGCTCCAGGAGCGCCGTCCTCCCCACGGGTTTCTGCCCCGCTCCCCGAAATGGGGGCTGGATGCGGCCAGGGGAGCCCCCTGACTGCCGACCTCTCGGGCCAGCAGCACGGTCGCCCTCCATCCCGCTGCTAAAATGAAAGGTCCCTTTGTTCGGCGGCTCCGGAGATCTCCACAGCGCTGCGGAAACATTTACCGCGATGCTAGAAAAACAAGGCAGCTGGTGTTTGCAGAGCAAAACGGTACCCGGCTGCAGAGAGGGGCCTGGGGGGGAGCACGAGGAAGAGAAAGGAGAGAGAGGTGATGGGGTAGGAGGAGGATAAAAATAGTGGAAGCAGGGAGGAGAGTGGGTGAGAGCGTGGGGGAGTGATGGAGAGAGAGAAGGAGAGGTGAAAAGCGCAGGGGGGAACTGGGAGAGGTGGGGAGGGAAGGCGAGAGCACAGGAACGGTGGAAAGGCAGTGGGACAGAAAGTGAGGGCGTGGAAACGCAAAGCGGGAGGGAGAGCAGGAAAAAATTGCTCGGGAAGCTTCAAGCTGTGTGGCACGGAGCTGCCTCTGCCCCATCCATCAGTAGATGTGGCTGGCTGAACCTGGCAAGCTCATCCCGTGTGCAGGAGGTGGATGAACAAGGGAGCCCTGCGAGTGCGAGGTGGCTGCACAGCTCGGACCCATCCCTCCCCTTGCCCAAAGCCATACAAAAAAAGCACGGCACTGGCTCCGTGGCATCCCGCTCATCCTGGGGAGGGGACAGGGCAGGGAGTGCCAGCTGCCCATGGGGCCGGGATGCTTTCTGCTCGGTGCCTTCCCCAGCAGCCACCCACGAGTGCCATTATTTATAGCTTGCTGCCTGCCTGCCCCCTCTGCGCACCGAGCTCCGCTCGCCCTTGTGCGCAGGGAAGGAGAGGGAAAGGACCAGGCTTCAGGTCAGGGCCAGGAATAGCTGCCAGCGGCCAGAAATAGCTGGTGCCATGCTCGGCCCCGGTTCTTCGAGAACCGCTGGATGGGAGCACAGTGTTTCCAAGATTTCAGCCCCGGCAAGGACAGGATTGATTTCTCCTTCGACTCATGTTCCGCCCCCGCTGCCCCCCTCAAGGCTGCTCTCCAGCTCCAAAAAAGCTGCCGGGTGGAAGGAGCAGGTGGGAAGGGCAGGAAAGCAATCCAGCGGCGGGGAGGGGACGACTGACCTCCGGAAAATGTGCTGGAAAAGCAAGCGAGGCAGGTCGCGAGGAGGGACGGGTTTCAGCACCTGCTGCCGCAGCCCCCGCCGCTGACCTGGGAAGGGGCGGCGCAGGGGAGCAGATTCCAGAGGATTTTGGCAGCGCACGGTGATCAGCGCGCACTCGATGACTCCTTCGGGTGCCTGCGAGGAGCTCAGCACATGAGATCAACGTGGCCGGCGTGCAAGGCACGGATACCGTCACGTGCGCCCGGCCGTGCCCCCGGGGAGGCTGCGAGCCTCCTCCGCGCCCCGGAGCGAGGTGCACCAGCCCGCGTGTCCGCTCACACGTACAGACAACTGGCGCATCCAGCTCCCACCTGCAGGGCTTCGCTGGCTGCCTGCAAACCTCCCCGTGCCCACCTTGCTCCTCTGCCCCGAGGCAGGAGGCCCTCACCCTGTCTTGGCCATAAGGTTTGATGAATGCTCCTCCATCCTCCGTGCGCCTTTTCCTCCAGAGAAGGCTCTAGGAACCCTCTATCCAAACTGAAACCAGCAAACAGCCTGATGGGAGGAATACCCTACTGCCCTCCCCTGCTGTATTTGCTTATCTCAGGGCTGTCCTCCCTGGTCGCTTGCTGTTTTTGGGTGCCGAGGAGAGCCGTGTAACCGCACCAGCGAGGAGTGGTGCAGGGAGGCTGCCAGCCCCCGGGAAGCCTCCAAGCCCAGGATGTGCAGGTCGGGGCTGCGGCACTGGGAGGTCGTGCTCGCACAGATGGGGAGTGGGGAAGGGCCAGAAAAGACAGAGAGAATAAACAGAAAAATAAAGGATGCCCTAAGCAGAGAGAGGAGTAGGAAACACGTGGCGCCGGTTCAGACCTTTCCACCTTATGCAAAAATACACACGCACGCAGATATTTCTGGGGGTGCTGGCACAGGGCTGGTGGACATGATTTCTGCAGGTGTTCCCCGTCACCTCCAGCTGTCCCATCCTCCTAAGGTGGCTTCATTGCACACAGTGTGCAGGGTGGCCCCGAAATCTGCTGACTACTTGTGCCCCAAAGAGCAGGGCACTGCTGTGAGCACACAGCAATCTGCGGCATGCACTCAGGGTGGGGGCAATGTGTGTCCATCTGTCCATGCAACACCAAAGCTGGGCCCAGAGCCCATCTGCTCCCTCCCCAACCACATTCAGGGACTGCAGGAGCTCCTTGAATCTCCTCCTGTTTGTAACACACCCCTAAGCCCAGCACGTGGCTGATCGAAGACCTGTAGAGCAAAGGCTGAGCAGCATCAGCGCGAGGAGAGCCACGTCCCTGCGGGGCTGGGATGAGAGCAGGGAAGCGCCCAGGTTTGTGCTAGCAGCCATCTGGGGCAGAGCCAGCCTCTCCTTCACCCCGGCGTGCAAACCTCAGCCTCTAGTTTCAGGGTGTTTTTTGTTTAGTAAACTACACTCCAGCCTTGGAGGGCGAGTCCCTAAATAAGCCGAGTATTTTTGGCCGCTCTCCCTCCAGCCTAGGGCTGCCCTTTGGGAAGCGCACACCCCACAGCCCTCCCTGCCCTGGTAACTGAATAGGCTGCCACTCCTCCGGGCCAGGAAAAGGATTACAGGACACGCTTTAGGGCTTGAATTCACAACCTTCAGCCCTCTAGAGTGGCAGCAGCACCGTGGGGCTGCGAGCTCTGCCCTTTGCAGCACGGGCACCCCGTGCTCGAGCTCCGGCTCTGATCCGGGGCAGAACCCAGCACCCCTCCGGGCCTCGGGCAGCTCACAATTAACTGCTTTGGAGGTGGCAAGGAGACAAATGACTATAATTTACAAATAGACTTTATCTCAAAACGAGCGCCTTACCAACACCTATTGATTTCCGCTCCCCCTCTGGAGAAGTCTCTGCAATTAAGTTGTCACATCCCTAATACCCACGTAAAAATGAGCCGGCACCAGCGGCTCCCAGAAAAACTCACCCGCGCAGGATTACGAAACCCAGCTGCTGAGCTTCCTTTTTACCCCAGAATTAGCAAGAGTTCAAATTTATCTCGCTGTCAGGTGGCAGAGCTTTTATCTCCATGGGCAATGCAAGGGGGAGAGCAAGTTTCTTGGGCTTGTTTCCTGTTGATGAGAGCACTGTAGCTGTTGCAGAGCTCAACCCCAGCTCCTGGCACAGAGGTGAGCTCGCCAGAGCGGGGATGCAGCTGATAGCATCCCACCACCCTGGGAGTTTGCATGGGGATGCCACGAAAAACCTGAAAACCCTGAGCTTCTGCATTGCCACCCAGCCCCAGCGCAGGGTGGGGACAGCGGAGGGCAGACGAGGAGAGAGACAGCACCAAGAAAAACAGCAGCAGGTGGAAAAAAAAAAACTCCAGGAGCGACTACGGTGCAGGAGATTAGGAGCGGATCTATGAGATTTAACAGAGATCGGGGAGCCAGACCCAATTACATGCCACACACTCCATCCACGAGTGCCTGGCTGCGGTTCATGTCACCGATGCGGCGTATAGATTTGATAATTGCCGCCGTGCAGACGGGATAATCTCCCCCTTGCCACCTCCTGGCCCCGACGTCGCTGCAGCCGGCGTAGCAGAGCCCTGCACCGCTGTGTGGAGCTGGGAAGATGCACGCATCCAGCCGGGCACTCAGCAGTGGTGCTGGGCGCTGGGAGCATCCCACCCCTGTGCCTCCTTGCAAGGGAGAACCCTCCACAGTCCTCCCGGTGAAGCCCATGTCATTTATTGATAGTGTCCCCTTGAGGCAGGCAGGGGACTATGCATGAGAAACACTCTGCTAAGCATAATAAAAGCGAGGGGAAAAGCCACGCTCATAAAACACCACGGAGGAGAAGCTGAGAGGGGGCCACAGCCTGCTTTGTCACCTTTGTCACCTTCTGCCGCCCCAAAAGACCTCTCAGCACTGAGATTGTTTTACTCGTGGTGGGACACCCGGGTGCTTTTTGTCTGCTCCCAGCAGGACAAAGTGTCCCCCGAAACCCAACCAGCCAGGCTGGGTCCCCACCGCAGGAGGAGGGTGGCAGGCGAGCTCCTTCCCCCTCGGGAGGTGGCAGGGAACGTCCATCAGGCACCTGCCAGCAAGGCCAATTCACTTCCATTTGGAAAATTAAAGAAATAAAATGAATCGTTTTCTTAATTTGAAAGGGTGGCAGGAAGCAAATACGCCTTGGGTCGCTGCCAGCGCTCGGAGGTCTGCTGCTGCTGGCGTGGCCGCAGGGTTTTGCTGGGGGAGACGCCAGCCACCTCTCCTCCTCTCCCTGTGGGGCCCAAGGGTCCCTACCTGGGGGCTGGGAGGGCTCCCAGTCTGCTTCCTTGACCCCCATTTTCCAAAACTGGTGTGGAGCCTGGAGGCTGGGGCAGCTGGAGTGGATGAAGCCAGGGGAGAAGGATGGCAAAGCCCCCTGTGCCCGGCTCCAGCCCCACTCCACTCCTGGACTTGGTAAGACCCCAAAGCGTTGCCACATTTATCTGACATTTATCAGACATTTATCAGATTAGCCACACAAAAATCTCCTCCAGCTGAAAACCCCTCAAGAATGCATAAAGGGGGCACCTCGTACCCATGCTCTGCCCTTTCGGGGTGCTGGTTCCCATGAACCCCACATCCCAAAAACGCATTCTTTCTGCCAGGGGCCAGCCAAAGTTGCATCCCTATGGGTTCAGCTCTAGAAATGTTTCCCCTTGCCATCATTTTCATGATTTTGGGGACACATTGCCAATGCTCATTATCACTCCCCATCTCATCTGCCCTCAGCTTATACAAACTTCTCACAGGAGCTGGCCTTGGCCAAGCTCTGCAGCTCCTGACCCTAAAGGATCTGCTCCTGCTTGATCCAGGGAAGGGAAAAGGAGCCACCAGGAGAGGACCTGGCTCCAGGATGAGAGCTGCACCCGGGCTGCGTGCTCCCCCTCCCACAGATGCGTCTCCCTCTCCTGCAAGAGACAAACATCGTCTCTCATTGCTTTTTTCCTCTTTCCCCCGGCCCGACCAAGGCGAATCCCCAAATCCCAGCTCCTTCCTGCCAAAGACATGTGCACCTGCAGAGCAGCTGGTGCCAACATCCCGAGCAGAGCCAAGCACAACAAACGGGCTAAAGAGCCCTCACTGCACAGAGACCAGCTTACAAAAACAGCCGTATTTCACCCCAACTCTATTAAACTGTCCTGGGTTATTGCTCCATTTCCTTTCCCACCACAGAGGATCAAATGAGATTTCTGTGGCCGCACAGAGATGCTCACACGTCTTCCCTTCAGCTGCCCCTTCTGTGCTCCGCGCGGGGTGAGACCCGCCTTGGGGCGGCATGGCTTTGCATGCAAATCGTTTCTGCTCAAAGAGGAGTTTTCACGTTGGGAAAACACAAGCAGGAGCACATTCCCATGCAGGGCTACCCGACGGGGCACCCAAACCCTTGCTAGAGCCTGAGCGGGTGCTGCAAGCCCTGGCCTCCTTGCAAAGCCCAGGAGGTGCCCGCAGGATCCGACCCATCTCAGCGCCAGGCTCTTTGCACAGCAATTAGCACAATTGGTCATTAGCAGAGGAAGAGGGCAGAGCTGTGAGCATCCCTCCTTTTATCTGCAAACCCTGGGGTTTTCTTCTGGTGGGTCGAAAGCCCACTGCAAACCAGACTCCTTGTTTACAAGTCAGAGAATGTAGAAGCTGCAGAGGAGATTCAGGGCACGGCTCCCATTAATTTCACCAAGTTTTACACATCTAAGCCAAGAGTTTTCAAAAAATGAAAAAATAAAAAAGAGGCTTGCTTCAAGGTAAAAAATAGCCAAGAAAAATGAACTTAGCTTCCACAGGCTTTCAGGAAGAGAAGTATCTGAAATGCAACAGTTCTTGCAGGCACTCTCTGGGCTTTGCAAATAGATAAGGGTGTTTGGAAACTGAAATCATGAAAATTGCCACCGCCTGTCTTGTCACACAGTATCTGCACACACACTCGGCTCAGCCACCAGCAGTGTCTGGAGAGGAAACGCAGAGAAAAAGTCCGAGAAGTTTAATGAACTGTCGCAGCTTAACAAACTAATCCCTGCTTATGCTCACCTCATCCCAAATGAGAGACTGGGAAAAACAAGTGTGCAACATAAGGCATTTATCTCTTATCTGTATGGGCAAATAATTGAGCAGAGACTCCTGGGTCACCGCAAGGCACCGTGCGCTCCTCCGCCACACATGACCAGAGCTAAGCAAATACCTTAGAACAATTTCCCATGAAAACTTTGCATCTGTTTTCCAGAAACACTGCAGCTAAAGGTAAGAAATGTGCATGGGAGCAGCGCAGCTTGCAAAATGGTCTCAGAAAGGCGGCTTTGAACAAGGCAAGAGCACGCACGCGGCGGATTTGGTGCAGGAAGCCACTGGCACTATGGGGACCTGGTGCTGCTCGTCAGTCGGGAGCTCTGA